GTGGCTATTAGCCACAAGGTATAGATAGAGACTCTGGGGCAAGTGATGCTCTGTCATCTTGGTGCTTGGGGGGGTCAACAGTGGGATGGCTTCTAATGTCCTGGCCCCACTGGTGGACCTCCTGATGGCACTGGTATTTCTGGCCACTGTGTGATACAGAGTGTTGGCCTGATCCAACATTGGCATCTCTTATGTTCTTATGTTCTTATGTTCAATCTCTTCTCTTCTTCTTCTCTTCTATACCATACTGGTTGTGTGTATTTACTTCTGATTTGCACCAGGGTGCTGAAGAAAAGAAGCGGCCCCATTTGTAGGTATTTCTTGGCAGCTACCCAAAGTGATGCTGAAGAAGTAAAGAACATCCTCCTAGGCACTAAGGGAGGAGAACTTTTGGGGTGGGGCAACTAGGGTGGGAGAGGAGAAAAAAAGCAAAACAGCTTTCTCCGCCCGTGTCTGGCATGGGGGCTGGTGTTGGGCATCAGGAAAGTTCTGGCCAGGCCAAAGGGCTGGCAGACTTGTCCCTCCACAGTGACAGAGGTGTGTGTTTGAAGCAACCAGTCTGTACAAGGCTCCCTCTTAGACTGGGACTTGTCTCTCCACAGTGACAGAGGTGTGTGTTTGAAGCAACCAGTCTGTACAAGGCTCCCTCTTAGACTGGGAAGAGGTGCAATCCCTCTTTAATAACATGTCCGTTTGCACCGATGAACAGCCCTTTCTGATGGCCACCGGCAGAGGCACAGAGAGAGAGAGGCCAAATGAAGTTCTGTGCGTGCAAGGAGGAGGAGATTGGATATATACCCCGCCATTCACTCTGAGTCTCAGAGCGGCTTACAACCTCCTTTCCCTTCCCCTCCCCACAACAGACACCCTGCGAGGGAGGTGGGGCCGAGAGAGCTCTTTCCAGAACTGTCCTTGAGAGAACAGCTCTGACAGAACTACGGCTTGCCCAAGGTCACACCAGCAGCTGCATGTGGAGGAGTGGGGAATCAAACCCGGTTCTCCCAGATTACACCAAACTGGCTTTCTCAGGAGTGTCCCTAACCCTCTCTGTCATTTTGCAGAATGTTGGGGGGTGTGTGTTTTTTTTGTCAACAGCAACCAGAACTGTTCAGGAGGGCAAACTCATAAAGGTAGCAGAACGCTAGTATAATGGATCAGAATAATAAACTTCTCCCACGGTGACTGTTCCGCCGCCTTAGACAACAGTTCTTCAATTACCAGCCCGATGCATTATTTCGTTTTATTAAGAATCTTGCTGTGAGATTGAATTGTTGTACGTAAGGGATAAATGTTACCTACATCGATCGTTCTGTTGCCTTAGAGAGGGTGTTTTTTTGCTTGCTTGTGTTGTTTCTCCCGGTCTTCGGTCCCAGCCCCGCAGGGTTATTTTTGTTCTATTAAGAAACTTTGCTGTTCAACTGAATCCTTCTGTCATGTTTTGTACGCCTCTCGCTTGACTGACTGAGTCACCTTTCTCAGACCAGTGAACTTCCTGCCCCGCCGGTAGATCCAGGTGTTTCTGCCATTCTTTTTGTCATTTGCTCGCTGGTGGATTGTGTCCAGGAGGGGTCCCATTGCCAGCCCAGCCCAGACTTAGAATCACAGAATCACAGAGTTGGAAGGGACCCTACAGGACATCTAGTCCAACCCCCCTGCTCAATGCAGGATCAGCCTAGAGTATCCCTGGAGCCGGGAGCCACAGTAGCCTTACTCGGAGCCGCAAGGTGCTCACTTGAGAACCCGCAGCGCCAGCAAAAGGGAAGCCCACCAGGACAGTTGCTGCGTCGTGGGTGGGCCCTCTGAGGCCCAAATTCAACCACAGCCAACAGCTGCTAAGCCCCGCCGGGAGGACCGGGAACAGGGAGGACGGATGTCGCAGCAGCAGCAACACAGTTCAGTCACTGCCCAGGGTGGTGTCGGGGTTAAGAGTGGGGGGGGCCCCACTCCTCCTCCACATGAAGCCAGCGGGGAGGCCTCGAGCCAGTCACGGTTCTCTCAGAATGCTCTCCGCCCCACAAATCTCACAAGGTGCCTGTTGTGGGGAGAGGAAGGGAAGGAGATTGTAGGAGAAAGGAAAAAGGTAAAGGTTCCCTTGCTCGAAAGCCAGTCGAATCCGACTCTAGGGTTGCGGTGCTCATCTCCATTTCAAAGCCGAAGAGCCAGCGCTGTCCAAAGACGTTTCCGTGGTCATGTGGCCGGCATGACTAAACACCAAGGAGCACGGAACGCTGTTACCTTCCCACCAAAGTGGTCCCTATTTATCTACTTGCAATTTCTTGCTTTCGAACTGCTGGGTTGGCAGGAGCTGGAACCAGAGACGGGAGCTCACTCTGTCATGCGGCACACTCGGGTCTCGAACTGCTGAACTACCGACCTTCCACAGCCTGCAGTTCAGCATCTTAACCACTTGAGCCACCGCAGCTCCTAGGAGAAAAAGCAAGGTATAAAAACTATAGGAGAAAAGCAAGGTATAAAAACCGACTCTCCTTCTTCTTCTACGGCCCACAGCTGGGGGGCAGTTCAACCCAGCCAGGACGACGGGAGGAGAGGGGAAAGAGCCCCCTGAGGCCTCACAAAACTTCAGCGGAATGGACTGAGCCTGTCTAGCCTCATCAGGGGCTTCGAAGCAGATACGGCCGTCTGCCTGCAGGGCCTGACTCTGTCTGACTAGGGTTGCCGGCAGGGGTCATTTCCTGCGGGAGCGCACAGGAGCAGAGCTCCGGCAGTAAGGAGCCTGGGGGGGCGGGCACATGCAACAAGCCCCGCCCCCTGCTCCCAGCAGCCCTCAGTCAGAGCAACAAGGAGCAAGAAGCAGCCAGGTAAGTAAAGCGCGCCCCCCCCCCCCCCGCCTTCAGGTTCAAGCTCTCCCTCCTCTGTGAGAGCAGATCTGCACGTCCGTCCCCCCCACTCCCGCAATAGCTAGCAATCCAAAACGGTCCAGTGGGGCCTGAGCGGTGGGTGTCGCCTTCTGACACACTTCCGGTGATGTCAGGGGGTGTGGCCTATGCAAATGAGTTATGCTAATGAGCCCCTGCACCTCTTTTTCTACGAAAGGACCCCTGAGAAGGAGGGCCCAGTAACAAAGCTGCTGACGCCCAAGGAAATGGCTCCTGTAGGAAGACCCCTACAGGGATTCTCCTGGAATTGCAGCCAGTCTCCAGACTGCGGGGATCAGTTCCTCTGGAGAATATGGCGGTCTTAGGGGGCGGACTCGCTGAGGCCCTTCTCCTCCCCAGCCCCAGGCTCCGCCCCACCCCCAAAGCTCCAGGAATGTCCCAACCTGAAGTTGGCAACCCTCAGGGCTGTTGCTGACCTCACAGCTTGGGCCCCCGGGGCTCTTTCAGGCCAGGTGGGGTGAGGAGTTTTAGCCGTGAGTCTAAACTGCAGTTGGACTGGGGTTAAAGATTAGTCAGTCAACAGCCTTGGGAGTTTGTGCAAAGCGCCCTCGCTGCCCCGGCAGAAGCCCCTGGCTGGGAGCACCCTCGGAGGTGGACTTTCCCCACTACGGGCAATCGTTAACTTTGAAGAGAGAAGGTGCTCTGGGCACCTTCAGCCCTCGGAGGGGCCCCCATCCCTCCAGGGCACAGCCTCCCCTTTCCTCTGACTCCAGACCCGCAGGGCCCCACCCTGGCTTATACAGGAAAAGGGTTGCCAGCCCCCAGGAGTTACCACCAATCTCCAGGCCACGGAGACCCCTCCCCCTGGAGGGAACGGCTGCTTTGGAGGGTGGACTTGGTGGGATTCTGCCCCACTGAGCTCCCTCCCCTCCCCAAACCTCACCTTCCTCAGGCCCCGCCCCCAGATCTCCAGGAACATCCTAACCAGGAGCTGGCAACCCTATGAAAGGCACATGACGCCAGCTCAGGAAAGAGCTCTGCTTTATTCCGACGGAGAGGGAGGTTGTGCATTGAATGGACCTCAAGGCTTCCATCCCCAGAATGCTTCTCCTCCAAGGTCCAGGGCCTCATTCTGTCCAGCAGTCTCCCCCCACACACACACACACACCCCAGGAGCTTCTAGAATTTGCTCTGGGCGGCCATCCTGCGTAGCTGCGTCTCCTGGAACCGGAAGAGGTTCCAGCCATCTTTGACCGTGCGGTCTTCACCTCCGTTACGCTCAAGGAATCTTATGTTCTCCGGCTTCTCAGAGGAGCTGTGCATTCGGATCTGGGAGCACCCTTTCTGCCAAGCGGCCTGTGGGCAGAAGGAGAAGAAGAAGGAGAGACTGGATTTATACCCCACGGCCCTTCGCTACCCGAAGGTGTCTCAGAGCGGCTCACAAACTCCTTTCCCTTCCCCTCCCCACAACAGGACACCCTGGGAGGTAGGCGGGGCTGAGAGAGCTCTTGACAGAAACTGATCTTTTTCAAGGACAGCTCTTGTCAGAGCTACGACTTGACCAAGGTCATCCAGCAGCTGCAAGTGGAGGAGTGGGGAATCAAACCCAGTTCTCCCAGATTAGAGTCCGCACACTTAACCACGACACCAAACTGGCTCTCAATACCAAACTCGGGGAAGCAGACCCCTGAAAAACCCGCTCTTCTCCTCCACTGCCTTGCGGAAAGACCCCGACGTCAACAGTGAGCGAAAGGGAAATTTGGCCTCTCTCTCCCACTAGGAGACCACCAAGGTGCCCTTTTATCATCCACACTCCTTTCCCAGCAAGGGAGGGGGAAGGGTTTCCCCCTGGCATCACCGCCACACCACTCTCAGGTGTGCAGGGAAGCTCCACAAGAGGGGAGCCAATAACCAGCTCCAGAAGTGCAGGGAAGGGGGTGCCTTCACGCCCCCAATGTCAAAGCAGCGTGGGAAGACGAAGTCGCAGGAAGCATCTCCCACACCACAGCTGTTGCCGTGTAGCAATCTGAACCTTCGCTGCACAGGAAGACTGAACCTGGGGGCTTCTGCGCGCCCAGCCAGTGCTGGCCGCCCTCACAAAAGTCTGCCGCAGCCCCAGGAAACGGGGGTCCAGCAGCAGCTCCTCTGAGCGGCAGCCGCCAGTGCAGAACAGGGGCCCTTTGCCAGCCCGCCCCGCTTTCTGGCTCTTCCATGCTGAGAACAAAGCAGAACATCTGGCCTGGGGAGGGCCCAGCAGCCTCTGAACACGCCCAGCAAGACACACCTGGCCACGATGCCGACTCACCGCTATTGCTGTGTGGTGGAGCACCTTCCCAATTTGCCTCCCTGGAAGAGAGAACCACAAGATTCCTTGACCTGGCAACAGTGATCCACGCTATGGTCACCTCGAGAGTGGACTACTGCAACGCTCTCTACATGGGGCTGCCCTTGTCCCAAATCCGGAAGCTGCGGCTAGTGCAGAATGTGGCAGCCAGGCTGCTGATGGGCCTCTCTATTCGAGAGCACATCCGGCCTGCGCTGAGAGAGCTGCACTGGCTGCCAATAGCATACCGGATTCGCTTCAAGGTGCTGGTTTTGACCTTTAAAGCCCTATATGGCTGGGGGCCTGCCTACCTGAGGGACCGCCTTTCCCCACACGTTCCCCAGAGAGCACTAAGGTCGGGGACTCAACATCGCCCGACTGTCCCTGGCCCGGAAGACGCCAGATTGGCCATCACGAGGGCCAGGGCCTTCTCAGTGGCAGCTCCATTCTGGTGGAACGAGCTCCCGGAGGACATCAGGGCCCTGCTTGTCAGGCAAGGCGGGATAGAAATCGAAATAAATAAATAAATTCTATGCTCTCTGTCGCCATTCCGGCCTGGTGGGCAGAAGCTGCTTCCAGGGCATCGGAGCAACGATTTCTGTGCTCAAGAGGGGGATGCCCAACCTGTACCCAGCGCAGCCTGTTTGCCCTCTGCCCATACCTCTGAATTCAGGCATGACGTACAGGTTGTCCATGTAAAGGTTCCTTCCTTTCCAGGTGCTGTAGGTGTAGACGGACAGGACGTACCCGATGAGAGTGTGGCCTGTGGAGCAGAAAGGTTCACAGCATCCAGAGCAAGTGCGGGGAGGAGGTGGCCGCTTACCTGACCCTGGAGCAGTGTTCCCTCTAAGCCGAGTTAGTGTGAGCTAGCTCACAGTTTTTTAGCCTCCGGCTCACACATTTTTCTCTCCGCTCGGGAACGATGGGGCTCCAGAGCAAACTAATTTATGCAGTAGGCAAATCGCTCGCTCACAACTTTAATGCCAGGAGCTCACAAGGTAGAAGTCTGGCTCACAAGCAGGGGTCATTTCGTAGAAAAAGAGGTGCAGCCGCTCATTAGCATAACTTATTTGCATAACTTATTTGCATATGCCACACCCCATGACATCACAAGAGGTTTGTTAGAAGGCAGTACCCACCACTCAGGCTCCACTGGACTGTTATGGATTG